GGGGGGGGGGGGGGGGTCTCCAGAGGATCGGGAGTGATCCGGGTATGTTGGACTGCGGTGTCGGAGGGGACGACCGATCGTCAAACTTTCTGGGACGAGTCGTTGTTGGCGACGAGATATTTTCGGAGGGTGAGAGAGAGGTGAAGAGTAGGCGGCTCTGCAGTAGGCTCGATCGGACAAGGCCCAGACAGTGCAAACAATGCGGGCTAGAATTGTTGATAGGGGGAGAGGGACAAATGTATGTCGTCAATGCAGCAAGGAACCTGGCAGCAGGGCCGCGAGGAGGCAGGGGAGGGGAGGGGAGGGGAGGGGGGATCAGAGGTGATAGGGCCGTGCTTTGTCGTGTGGATGCGCTGCGGTCTGTTCGGGTCTGCTGCCGCTGGGTTGCCCCCGGTCGACTCTGGGGGCGCTGCTGGGTGCTGCGCTGTAGTGGGCCTCAGAGGTCGATGGGGTGGCTGGGCAAGCTGGGCTAGAAGCTCGATGGATGGTGGTGCAGATAGAATGGCAGCTGGCAGCGTGGTGGTGTTGGATTGAGTGGAACAAGACAAGACGGGACGGCTGACTGTGGGTTGTGTGCTGGCTGGGCGAGTCGATGTGCGTGGAGCGTGGCTTGTTGAGCGAGCAGCTGCTGGCGAGCGCGAATAGCTGAAGGGCAGGCCCGCGAGGCAAGATGCCGAAAGCAGCCGTAGGGTACGATTCCGTCAGGCTGGGTTATTTGTTGACGTGAGTGTTGAGAAGAAGGCAGTCCCGTCCACAAACGACCAGCTAGTCGAGCTGCAATGGGGAAAAGCAAATCGTCGGAAGGCTTTTCGTTTACCCACCTTCACCACGACTATGTTCCTTTTCCTTCGCTGGATGATGAGGCGATGGCGATGACAGGATGTACCTCCATGTAATACAGCGGAGTTGGCACGGGTGCCTCTGTGGAGGTGGAGGTAGGCAGGTAGGTAGGTGCTGGCAGAGCGGCGAGGCCAGCTGGCTGGGCAGGCACCGGAGCCAGACACAGAGAGGCAGGTACAACGAGGTGCAGTGGGCTTGGCTGCTCACGGCCGAGTCAAGACGGGTCTCGACCCTTAGTTCCACCACTCAGGCGTCATCTGATGACTTGGGCACCACCAGTCTGATGGGCCAGCAAAGAAAGAGCTGGCGTGGCACAGTGGAGAAACCCGCAAATTCCCCCAGGCGAGACTGCCAGAAACCTGCCCAAAAAGCACTAGCAGTGTGCGCGCACCCCAGCCTGGTCGATCCTCCCCTCGTCCTGGGTGCTGCTTCCCCCTCATCCACCTGTCCGGTGCCGCCGTGGCCCTTGCCTGCTTCATCCTGTCGTCACCTCTTCGACCAAGCACCCCTCCCCGCCTTCCCTCCTCATCAGTTTTGTCATGAGGCTATCGCTCACGCGGGTCCAGCTTATCACACTTGAGAGTGAATCAGACTCTGGCTGGCTGAGGCATCACAACCGATGTGACGGTCATGTCTAGGTACCTAGCGACCTACACTTGCATACGTAGGTACTCATAAATAGGTAGACAAGGTATGCCTTTTGCATTTGATTCCGTCAACTCAAGCTGCTGAGATCTACATGTACGCATGCGCCAACTCATCCGATCCCAAGAGTAAGCATGGAACTTCCCAGTTACTATCGATAAGCTCTGTCCACCTCCATCCCTCGTGTGTGTCAAGATGATTGTACGCAATGCGATCATCAATCGCAGTTCAACGTCGGCATGGTCTGCCGCATCAATTGCACAGCTTCAGGTCGGAACCCCCTATCATGCTTCGAGATGTGTCACCAGGTCCAAGCTCCCTTGAGCTGCCGAAGTCTGAGTTGTGCCTGGTTCGCTCCCCTTTGTGCATGTCTCAACGCGGACGGGACGCCTGGTGCGCCTGCGCAGTACCGCGTGACGACCCTCTCCCCCCTTCAGCACACTTACATGTCTTGGAGTCTCAGACAGCCACCCAGCTTGTTGACATGACGAGCATAGATAAGGGACGCCACATCTGAGATGGCGACACAGGCAACCAGAAAAAAAGCACACGCTGCACTTGCCGCCCAGATGAACCTATATCGGAGCCTCCAACCTTACATCCCGGGCGGGCTCTACTTTATTATGGAAACATACTATTGCATCATGATGTGTCTACTGCACCGTGCTAGATCACACCCTCGTGGATGCGTCGTGATAGGGCTCCCCCGCATCACCTGGTGACTGTGGCGCCAGCAGCCGTTCCGTATCCTCCGGCCCTTGGTGGCCGCCGTCAACCCCCTGCGCCGTCTCAACCTTACCGAAAAGCGCATCCATGTCCTCTAGAGCGATGCCTTTTGTCTCCGGGTAGAAGATAAGGATGATCTGGAAACGTTAGCTGGCCCTCGAGACTAAGAGTGTTCGACGTCATACCGGAATGCACAGCACATTGACCACCATGAAAATGAAGTAAACCTTGCTGCCCAATGCTGCCCGTCCAACAGGCCATACATGAGACACAATGATGGAGCCGACCGAGCCACCCGATGCCGCGAAATTAAGCCCCCGCGCCCGCACCGACGTGGGGAAGATCTACCGGCGTCAGCAGCTTGGCCTGACCAAATGCCGTTTGGAAACAACCTACCTCGGTATTATACACCCATGACGCCGGGCCGAAGCCCAGGCTGTAACCCAGGGCGTAGACGAATATGAAAATGATACAGATGACATCCGCCACCTTGCTCGAGTTGTCCGGATACGCGATCGGCAGGGCGCCGTTGATCTGCCGTTTTGTTAGCTGGCAGAACCATTTCCGCGCAGGCCCATTGTGCGAGCACTCACCATCATAGCCACGGCCATCACAACACAGCCCGCCACCAGACACATTCGCCTGCCAAAACGATCGATGAGAAACATCTCCAACACCGTGAAGCCAATCTTGATGGTCATTTCTGCTGCACCGGCCATCAGGGCTACTCTCGTCTCGAGTCCAAGCGCCTTGAGCAACGTGGGCAGATAGTATTTCATCGCCGTGGCGCCGCACAGAGTAGCCATGAATTGCAGAGCTGCAGCGCGCCACAACCGGGCGAAAAGGGCTGGCTCGCGGAAGAGAGCAAGCCAGGACGTGTGGGTGGGGTAGTAGGCGTCAACGTTTCTGGTGATGGCGGCAAATTCGGCGTCCACTTCAGCATCGGGCGCCATGCCCTCGCGAAGCCAACGGAGAGTCGCCTTGGCACGTTCGAGATGGCCGTTTTCCACGAGCCAACGAGGGCTGACCAGACATTAGCTGTGTTAAGGGCGCGCAAAGGGGTTCGCGGCTTACCTTTCGGGGATCCAGGGCAGCCCAGCAGCGAACGTCAGGGCAGGCACGAGTTCGAGGCAGATGGATAGGCGCCAGCCATAGTAGTGACCGCTGGCTGAGGTCCAGTACGTCATGAAATAGCCGACCCTGGTGTACAGGTCAATCGCGGTTCCTTTTCCTCCGATTTACACAACATGCATCCGCACACTTACCAGAGACCGGTGGCAAGGCCGGCGATAAAGCCGACGTGATTCATCGTCACGAAATGACCCCTCTGCTTTGCAGGTGAAACCTCCCTTTTGAAGTCAGCAACTCAACATCATAACACTTCATTGGCTTCACCTACGTTTGATAGAGCGGCACCGACGTCGAAACGATGGCTACGCCAACACCCGATACCATTCGCCCGAGAATCATGGTTACGAGGGCTGATACACCATTGCTGGTCGCCTGGAGCGCCGTGCCGAGCATGAGAACGCCGACGCCAGAAAGAGCTGCGTATCGACGACCGAGCCAGTCGCTGAGAGGGTGCGAGACGAAGATGTAGCTTATGAAAGTACCAAGGTAATAGATACCAGTGATGATGCCCTTGGTGCCAGCCCTGGGATGGTTGAGCATCTCCTGCCAGCCAGGATGAACGAGAATAGAGGATAGCACACCAATGTGGTAACTACATACCTGTCAGCATGGTTCTGGGCAGCGATGCACCCAATTACTGAGGTCTCGTCGAGCGAAATGCCTCACTCGACTGCCCCTCCGCGCGACGTCTACGGCATCATGAACGTCGCAAGACACAATAGGATATATATGTGGGCATATCGTCTTACCCCCATACTGAAGCGCCAATGCCGAAGAAGAAGCACAAAAAGTATAACCTCCGTACGGCCGGTGCCGCGGGGCTCTTGAAGTTGGCCATTGAGTAGACCAATTGAGCGTACAGCTTCCAGCCTCCGATCAAAGGAGCGTTTGGAAAGGGGGGAAAGGGGGAAAAGGGGGAAATACCGAGATGCTATGGCTTCATCGTTGAACCGAGCCTTATTCTCAGTACACCAGAAAGTGTGGTCGCTCGGGGGATGGTTGATGGTGAAGTCGACAGGCTGATGTTTTGTTCTCCGAGCGGTTCGTTGTGGCAAAGGTGGGGGGACTCAGTGGTGGATGCCCAGGCGAGAGCACCACACGCTTGGCCACCTGGTGCACTGACAATTTCTGCATCCTGCAAACACCCACATCGTCATCTGTTCACTTGGCAATCCTCCGCGCAGACCTAAGGCATGGCCTACGACCCCGCCATAGTCGGGTTATTGGCATGTTCAAATACGCTGTCATCGGAGGCTTTCGATCTCTATTCAGGTGCTCACGGGGTACGGGTCTCGTGGCACCAGGCTGTGGCCAACTTCACGCATGGAGCTCGTTGGCTTAACATCACTCGCACATTTCATCCAGGGCTCTCTAATTATTGTACATATATCATACAGCCCGTTCCTCATCTGTTTTCACCGCGAGCCGTACCCTGGGAAATCAAACTGACCTGTCTGATTCGAGGGCAACGCCATATCCCATCCGGCATACGGGCTCGGCCCCGACCCTGGCCCCGACCCGGACAGGATCTCAGTTAGCCCCGTTGCGAGATTCGTTTGCGGTACCCCGTATGCCCAAGACCCCGTCATGACATCCTCCGTCATACCGGGCGCAAAGTCTCCATAGAGCCCGCCCGGCATCCCACTCGGATTGGGTCCATCATCGCCGCCATCTCCCGGGACCTGCTCCATCACGGGCATCAACATGCGCCCGCCAGCGCCGTTACTCGACCGAATCTCCGTCCCTGTTGACGAGCACCGGCCCAACCCATCATCCACGCCAAAACTTGACCCCAGAAGCGCGATCGAGAGACTGTCCTCAGATGACCCTTCGTCGACATCCACCCCCGAGTCCGGCCTGGGCCCGCGTCGTGATGGCGGCCCTGGCATGGCAGCGTTGATCTCGCTCTTGCGGTTGCTTCTGTTCGAGTATGGCTTTGTTCTTGCTTCATTCACACACTGCTCCACAACCTGGATGAACTGGTTGCGATACACATTGCCTATCGTCTCCAGCGCTTGCTCGTTGAGTCCCTTGTTGCGTAAGCTTCCCTCGAGCGCCTTCAAGCTTGCAAGGAAGCGCCCCGTCACCTCAAAGTGTTCAATGACAGGACAGAAGTCTATATGCGAGTTAGCAGCGAGCATGGCGATCGAGCAGACACAACCCACCCCAGTTGACCACTTCGTGATCACCGTCGTCCGGAAATACGAGGTTCCAGATTTCCATCCATTGCACTTCCGCCGATGTCCCGCCCGCCCGCTTCCGGCTCAGCAGCTTGGCAGCCGTTGGACCGTCAATGCCACATTCAGGGTCGTGATCAGCAATGTCGCACATGAGGTCCCTCGGCAGTCTCTGGTGGTCCCTGAGATCCTTCCTTGCTGCAAAGTCGCGGTTGCACCGGTCACAGACAAAGGCGGACGGATCCACCCGCTTGTGTTGCTTCACGATGTGCTGCCGCAGCTCGGCAAATTTCGGAAAATACGTCATGGCGCAAGAGTGATGCTCACGCACGTTGAACCGCGCAGGGTTGCGTTTGCGAAAGGGGCAGCTCAGGCGGAGGTTCTCTTCGGGTTCCTTGGCGATTTGTCGAGGGCGTTTGAACGGAGCACCGCCGTCGGCGTCGTCCTCGCTGATGTCCTCGTCATCTTCTGTTCCGTCACGGCTGGGGCCGCCTTTCTTCCGCTTTCCAGTTTGGGAGGTTCGCGTTGGAGCTCGTGCAATGAGCACGGTTGATCGAGATGAAGCCGATGTCGTGTGCGTGAGCTGCGTGGTTGACGGACCGCTAAAGGCGATGCGGCCGACGTCTTGAATGAAGCGGGACGTGAAGCGGCGGAGTAAACTCTGAGGAGCGCCAATCTCGTCTAGATCGACACCATATGCAGCTTGGAGGACGTAGTTGAGCACGCCCTCAACCTCCTCGTCTGAGCTGTCTGCGGGATCGTCGTCCCAACCTGTGGAGAGCCTGTCGACCCTCACGTCGAAACTCATCCTCTCTTTGAGCGGCGGAGGCCCATCGCTGTCGATTTGGTCGGCTGCTGGTCTAGACTGAGTTTAGCATGAGCTCACGTTCAAGGTCTAGGGTGTTGCCAAGCTGCCTACCTTGGAGTACCGGCAGCCCGAATCGCATCAACTTCTGGTCTCTCGTTGATCTCTGGCTGTCTAGAGTGGTCCTTCATCCGATCTTCGTCGGGCACTGAATCAACAAACGTGGATGAAGACGAATCATATGACTGGCGGTTCCATTGCCTAATGGGATGACCCCGCAGCGTCTCCCTGCTGGGGACCTCGATATCTGGCGTCGTGGCCCGAGTGAATGTCGAAAGCGTCGGCGACATGGGCATCGAATATGTCGTGGCCGAGTCAGGCATGACAGCCGAGCTCATAGTCGACGACGTTGGTGAACGGTCACGATACGCCTTGAAAGCTGCTGACGAGAGGTTTAAGCCCTCGGGGCATTTTGAGGACGGGTGCGGGGCTGGGTTGTCGAGCGACGTCCATTGTAGCACCTCGGTGATGTGAGGGAAGGTGGCAGAAGATGAAGATACAGACGAGGAAGTCTTGAGATGACGCGTCTCGCGGTGGCGGATGGGCATCGGCGTTGACCATGTTGACTCGACGCCTTCTGTGTGCAATGGTGAATCTGCCATGGCGCAACACTGAAATTCCAGGCAGTGATCTCGTTGCGGCGTTCTGTTTGCGCGACACGTCGTCTTGCTGTAGTCTGCTGCTATTAAACTAAGGCCTTAACTCAATTGAAAGCCAATATCAAGTATCATGCGCCGGCGGCGGGATCGAACAAGGAGAGAAGAAACATGTCAAAGAGAGGCCATACATTCTCGAGATTCTCTTGCGAACTGACGACGCCTTTGCGGTCTGCCCGGTGCGAGTCCCCGATTGCTTACGTCTTGGCCCCCAAAGACATGATCGACAGCCAACATGACGGCGGCGCAGCCGACGCAGGGGGGGAGGTTGCGCGGCACTGGATTGGCCCATGATGGCGACCACGCAGCCAGTTGGGGCAATGTCATGGCTCCATTAGCCGTGCACCAGGTATCATCACCTGCCTACAGCCAAGCTGAATCGCAGGCTGCCTCTTCATGTTGGAGGCACCTCCTGCATGTCATTTACTTCTCCTCGAGCAATCATTGGCTCATGGTAGGTGTCTTGGGCGGTCGTCTCTCACACTTGCAACACCAAGGAAGGTGATAAGAGCCAAGTATGCCCTCTTAGATGATGGATGCCATCAATTTAGGCGTGGTGGTGACCATCTGGCGGGAGCAAATCGAACTGGAGATACCGGACCCCCCGGCAGTACACACTCCAAACCCCGTAAAACCTAAATGACGGTTGTTTGTCAGCAAAATAAATACCTACTGTAACCCTGCCATCCCCCGATGATACCCATTTCGGTAGAGAACCCAAGAATATCGACGGGTCGGCCATCACGATGACAACGCGCCCAGGACATCAGCCTGATTCAATCTTCGCCTCTGTCGAGTGCCCCAGGCACGGGAGAATGGTACCTGGCCTTTCTAGCCAGCATCCCTGCACGCACCCTGGTGAGCGCTGATCTGTTTCGAACGATGGCGTTTCATTTTCTGAGCCTAACCCAACCCTGCCAGATGTCTCGGTCACCAAATATGGAAGAGGAGCTGCAAAAACGTCAAGCGAACCGGCTCGATGCCAGGTAAGCAGTTGGAGCCTTCCTCGAAATGGATGTACCGTACCAGGCGTGGTGACCAGGATGTTTTGACGCTAAGGTGCACCACGATTCGGGTACCTGAACGCCAAGTCGAAAGACACAATTGAGCTTGTCCATTGGTCCATGGTGAAAACGGTCCAGCAAGAGATATTCTGAAGCAGGAAGATTCAGTGCGTGCCGCTTGGAAATTAACAGACGATTTTCGCGACGTGAGCACAGTCCGGCGATGCTTGCAATCGCGTTTATCACGGCTATGAAGCCACTGTTGTAGTTTCAGGCCCTCTCTCAGGCAGTAGCATATAATCGGTATTGGTTGCTATTTCATATTGTTCAAGTGATTTGAGTTAAATAGCCCACTGCATCCACTATATAACCGTCCTGCAAGCAAACAAAGCCTGAGAGTCTTCACGTCGTCTTTGCACAATGTCATATCATCAAACATCAAGCAGCGGAACGCAAGAGCCAGCAACATCAAGGTACGTAGCATATCACATCGCTTAGCCAGCTAATCTGACGAAAGACAATCCGTCAGTGCCGGACGCAGCCTTTCTTACAGCGTAGATCGCTACATGATGTCCACTGAGCCTTGGTCGCCCTATGCCAAGCCGAGAACGACTGTCGCAGCCCCGCGGACACCAGATGCGCTACTGAGGGAACTTGATAACCTATTATGTCACGAAAAGCACAGTCAGGGAGCGATACAGGTCTACGGTCCCCAAGGGAAAGATGAGAAACAGCGGCAAAAACGAATATACAACAATGCGGGCGCGCCGGGCGCAAGTGACGGAACGGTCCCACAGGGACAATATAATAACCACTATGTATGTAACGATCATGTACAATGGGCCAGATAATGGCCAAATATGTATAACAGAAGACTTCATATGCGTAACCCCTCTCGCAACTATCCTAAGACGTGAAAAGCTCCAGAGCATCCACAATCTGAGCTTAAAGTTAGCACCGATCCATAGCCTGCCGTCAGAGACACTCACAAAGTTGGGACTCAGGAATGTGTCGCCGCTGCTGCCAGAAGCCACACTGATGGTGATGGTATTGGCCCCGGCCTTGAGTTGGCCAGACGGGATAGCAATGTCATATTGCTCGCCCAAGCCCCTGTAGGCGCCACGAGTCACGCCACGGGAGTTGAGGTTACGCGGCGCGACGGGTGTGGCGGCGGTCCAGGTGTTCACCTGAACAACAGGGCGTGCGCCAGCAAAGGACAAAGTGGTGCTGATGCGGAAGGTCGCAGCACCTGGCGCGGAGGCGAGGTTGAAGTTTATCACAACGCCGTTATTCACCGATTTGAAAATAGCCATGGGGAAGTCGCTCAGCTCAGAGGAGCCAACGTTGTACGAGTTGGTCCAGCTGCTCATGCGGCTGTCCGAGGGGTGCATGCGGAGGAACTTGTCTGCGTTGCGAAAGCCGGTGGGCTGGCCGTCAAACTCGCCAATCTTGAAGAGCGAGTTGCTTGGGGCCTGAATTGTGCTAGCAATATCACGAGTAGTGGTGCTGCCGACGGTGACAGTGACGGAGGTTTCGGCAGCCTTGTACTCTGTCTGGTAGAGGACCTGGGTGTAAGTACCGGGCTTCATAGCCGGCGAGGTAAAGGTGCCGTTGGAGCCGGCGGTGGTCCAGTACTGGGCATCCTTGTTGTACCAGTGAACCACAGGTCTGAAACTGCTGGGAACGCCCGTGGCACGGCCAGAGACGCGACCACGGCCACCTGCAGCAACGTAGTCGCGAAGGCCAAGGCTCGACATGAAAGTGAAGTCCACATCGCCGGTACTGGGGATATCGGAGCGAGAGAAGCTCAGAGCATAGGGGCCATGTAGACCCATGCGGTACTCTTCGGTCTGAACGTGACCGCTGTTCATGTAGTTGTACAAGGCCGTGAAGGGACCATTGTTGTTGGTTTCGATGTCACGATGGAAGGGTCCGCCGGAGGAGGTCTCAGTTTGCGGAATGATCATACAAGCATGGATCTCCTCAGGGGACGTGCCGTGGACGCAGTGGACGCCGCGATCGATGTAACGGTCGGACGAGTAAAACTTGGAGCGGGTCTGGCCGTTGACGACGAAGACATCAGAGCCCTCCACGGTGGAGTTGGAGCCACCAGTGGTGGAGGCGGTGCCGTACGGATATTCGAGGGGGAGAACATCGTTTTTGAGGCGAGCAATGTAGCGCAGCTCGCCAATTTCAGGCTGGGCGGTGATGTGAGTGGCCATGTAAATCAGGCTGTCACCCTCCTTGGCGACGAGGTAGTGGGTGAGGGTCGAGGTGGAACATGTAATGGTGATGACGCCTGATGTCTGAGTAGCGGTGACAGTAGCAGTGCCGAGGCCGGAACTGATATGGGTGCCTTGAGAAGCATATTGGAGCTCGTTGCCGCGATATTTGATAGAGTTGATATCACAGCTGGAGCGGGATACGGAGAAGACGAGGGTATTGGACGAGCCGGTGTCTACAACATAATTATTACCCGATGTCGTATACCCAAAGGCAGCAAGAGCAGAGGAGGTGAAAGAGACGGCCGTCAGAAGAGACAGCTGGACAAGCGAGGGTGCCATAATGATGATCGTAAGGAAATCGATCTGGCGAGCCCTTGTAGGTTGGAAGAGAGGGAAGAAGTGAAGTAAAGTGATCAGCGGAGAACCTGGTGGATTGTGGGTTGTTCAAAACGGCACGGCACGCCCGGTAGTTATAAGGCGAGAGCATCGACAAAGTTCATATGGGACGAACGACGACAGGGTCACAACCGGGGCGACTGCGAGTGTGACCTGTTGTGGATGGGTGTGTAAAGTGATTGGAGGAAGCTTGTGAACGGCCGAGGTGTCTGGGGCTTTGCTCCGAGATTCAGGGACGGGCGACCCGCTGGGTCGGAGCCAAGGGTCCCGCTGCTCGTCTCATGTGTGGCGCGGCCTCGTGAGCGGAGAGTGGGTGGATTCCATGCAGTTTACTGTCTGAGAACTGGCATGACGGTAAGTTCGCAATGAGGAAGTGAGATGCAGGTGACGCAAGCTCACCTATGCTTAAAGCCTTAGTTCACGCGTTCAATCCTTGCCCATGTACCTGGGCCTGGCGCCTGTGCACTACATTCGCTTGTCAATTTGGCGGCCTGGATGGTGAGCTGTCATCTGAGAGAAGCCGTCCTATCCGTTTCCGTCAACATCAAACATTCCCGGAAACTTAACATCTTCTCTCCAAGAATTTCATTTCGAGTCTGCTTCTGGACCTGCACGTAGGAACAGTTACCTAATCTGGAGCAGAAAAACAATGGAATAAAGTGTCGAGGGAACCTGGTAGACGGCAAAGCTCCCAAGCCGAGCCATGTACTCATGTACTGTATGCGTCGCATGGCGCTGGTGACTGCCGTAAAGTGCCATCCGGAACTCGGCACGTGGCATGCATCACGACATCGATTTACTTGCTTCGTATTGACCCGCCTCCATCATACTCGGTTCAAGATTGGCGACTTTTATGTTCCCCTCGCAACAAACTCTCGAATCACATCCCAGCGCTGCTCACCGTGCATCTGCGGCTTGACCCAGAATGTGACCCAGGAGCCCCCGCTCACTCTAGGACTGATGTCGGCATTCATGACACGTGCCGCTTCGGGCACATGGAACGGCGAACTTCTCACATCATCGTCATCTGGTAGTTCCAGTGCTTCCACCACATCTCCTTCAGGAACTGGACCGGCCGCTTCGGCCTCGAAGATCCACTCCGCCTCCTCGTGAGGGATACTCGGCGGTCGATTCCCAGGAATCATCTTCAGAAAGTTCTGAATCTCGTCCTTGGCCGGTATGTATGCCTTCGCGTGTCTGCTGTCCGGCTCTTGCACACCCTTGCCCAGTATCCTGAGGGCCCTCGCCTCTTCCAGCTCTATGATTCGCATCGCGATCCTTGCAACTAGCCTGGCATCCCACAAGTTTTCCTTGCAATCTAGGGCACCCTTCCTCCGAAGCAGCCTGATTGCGGCCCGCCTCAGTTCTGGATGCCGACACTTGACTGCAGTATAATACAAGGGAGGCACGATGCCAGATTCAAAGCTGAACCGAGCCCCATCGCTGTCCGGAGCTGCTGCTCCCCTTGCTTCCTCATCCTGCAAGATCTCTCCCGCGACGTCCACTATCGAAGCAAAGGTAGTCATGTGCTCATCGAACGAACACTCGAGGCGAGTGAGTGCTGTACCGAGATACACTGTCAAGGTCAGGTAATAGAGGCGGCACATTCTCGCAGCGCCTGTTGAGCCTCTGCCTTGCGCAGCTATCAAGACGGCAAACGCCACCTGCCACTGGTCTGATCGTCTTGTCAAGTCGGCGCTGCGCACCCGCCACGCGTTGATTTCTGCGGCCCAGCTTAGGCTTGTCGAATCAGCAGTGAAAACCCACGCTTTGGCATCCTTGGCAAAGCGAAGGCCGTCATCGATGATCTCGTGCAGGCTGAGCTCGGCATCCTCGAGACGGTCAAAAACAATGTTTGCTGGCCGCTGTGGCCTCAACTCTGTTGGGATCGGTACAGGCTTGGCCCCGAACACGAAAGAAGCGACGCTGAGCCGGGTGTACACAGGAACGAGCTCTCTCCGGATCAGGTCCGCCGCGGACCCTTGTGCCTCGTGTGGATCCTCGGCCAGCTTGGCTAGTATGGCCCGTCCCTGGATAATGTGCACCATGGCGGCGCTCATATCGCCGAGCATAAATTCGATGCAAATGAAGAGCAGACACGTGAGCAACGGCACCGTAACAGAAGCCGTTCCCCTCATGCCGGGGGCGCTCGGCGTCCGCCACTGCTGCAGTGACCTCAAAGCCTTGCCGTACTGTCCGGCTGCAAACGGCGTGCAGACGGCATCGCAGCCTTTGAGGTTGTTGGGCGTGCGACCGTTGCCACCATAGGCGCTCTGGTGAAGGTTACTGATGACAAGCACAGCGTAACGTACGGCCGGTTCCTCGAAGCACAGAGCTGGCACGATGCGAGCCCAGAAAGTCGAAGTAGCCTGCGTGAATAGTGACGTGGCAGAGCAGTTGCGATAGTAGTGGAACGCGCGTTGGTCGTTGGCATCCCAGGCTGCGAATGGGCTCATGGTCCTAGCAATGCTAGTTCCGCTTGGCGGTGGGGAAGACTGCGATTGAGGCCTGGTCATGTTGGGAGTAGTTGTCACATAGCCGTCGCACTTCCGACCAGTCTTGGTGCATCGCTCGCATGCCGGCTTGAGCTCATCGCATTTGACACGGCGGATCCTGGAGAGATGTCAGCTGTCATCTCGGTGGCTGCGTACCATCGCGGCAGCTGCTGTGCTTACTTGCAAGTGATGCACCCAGTCCGGACCTTTCGCGAACCCTTGCGGCCGTTTCGCTTCGCTACTGATGCAGACGACGTTGATCCAGTGAAACCGGGACTGTCCGTACTTGCGTTCGATGATGCCAATTGTGGCGATGTACTTTGCTCCTCCATGGCAACGGCCAGCATGTTCTGAGGCAAGCCGCCCTGTCACAAAATGTTGAGAGGGTTGGCGCAAGCTGCCTTTGGCCCAATAGGATGTTTTGCGAGTGCGAGCTGACGAGACAGAGGATAGAGCGAGAGCTGCTGGGGCCGCCGTTGTCTAATATGTCCTTACCCCCAGACGTTCATCGCGGCGAGACAGTGGGGTATCGCGATCCTTCAGCCTGGCCTCATTGGTCTGCTCGCACTCTGCTGACCCAAGTGGCAGAATGGTCGTGGCTTGGCAGGGCTGTGAGCCAGGGGAAAGACGATGTAACTGCCGGGTCCTATCACGGTCTTCGCCCCCCTGGTCGAGCTATTTCGGGCCTCAAAGGCTGCGGATTGACCAATCTGGAGTGTGATTTGGAAGCAACTTCTGTTTGGACCGCGCCGCGGCAGGTCATAATAGACACACGTAGTGCATATTTCAACAACCGTTTCGCTCAGATTCAAAGGTCCCAACCGCGCAGGAGATCAAGACGCCTTACAAGCTTTGCACTTATTTACACGTGGATAACAACAAGGCAGGGGAGCTCAAAACAAGCAGGTCCAAGACCCAGGCCTCATCCAGGCAGCCCCTTAACCTTCCAGAACAACGCCTACAACGAAACATGACTGACCTCGAATATAACCCCCAACGCCGAGCCAATCATTTGAGACCCATCCTTCCCCATGCGGTCTGTTACGGCAACTCCGACTTCTCTCTCTCGCTTCTTGTCGTCGGAAAAGCTCTTCCTCTGAGCCACCAACGTCTTTCGGATTACCAGAAGCTGCACCATCCTATGTAGTGCTGGCACAGGTTCTCCAGCTTGGTCGCCTCCGTGATGAGCTTGTTGACCTGCGCGACGACGTCAAGCTCTTCGTTGGGCTTGAAGTCCTTACCCCTCAGCTTCTGCGAAACGCGATCCAGGACCTCAATTGCCCGCGCATTTTGTGCATCCGCGGGGTCCATGACGTTATTACCGTTGACCAGGCTCGTGCTCGGCGCGATGGACGAGTTGGTGCGCGCCCTGGACCGTGCTGTAGGCGGCCCGCCTACTAGTGCGGAGGCATCGCCGCCTGCAGCCGCGAGCAGCTCCGTCGGTGCCACGTCGGCATCGAGCATTGAAAGCCGACGGCCGCGAGGACCTGTCTGCGACGCCGTGGGACCAGCGATGGCCTGTTCGCGTTCGGACCGGAAGTTTGGTCCCGTTGGACTTGCCGCATTGGTAAGGCGCCAAGTCAGCAGGGGATCGTGGATGAACTGCAGTCATGTTAGTTGATTGATCCTCAGGGCGTTTCGAGCAGCTTAGGGGCATTCGACTTACAGCTTCCAAAACGGCCATGACGCTTTCCTTATTCTCGCGCAGAACCCGCATTACATGCTCGCATGTGATCCTGAAGCTGCCCTCGATGTTGCTAACCTCCATGGCATACGTCAACATGCGCGTGAGGCGGAAGGGCACGCGTTCCGGATACTTCTCGCGCTTCATGGCGACTTCGAAGCAATCACCGAAATCAATATGAATGATTTTGCCGGTGACACGGTCTAGCATCAGGTTCGAAGGGTGACGATCACCCAGACCGAGGATGTAGCCGACCATGGACATGACGCCGAGAGAGCGCGTGTAATTGGTGCGCCGCTCGAGCCAGGCCTCAGAACTCTTACTCTTGAGCCACAGTACGCGGTACAAATCTTGGCCGGTGGTGTTATCAAGCGCGTAGCCAAAGACCTCCACCTTCTGCATGAGAGTCAAGTTGTCATAGTCGGGAGCCATCTGCAACATTATCCGATGCTCAATGTTCAACAAGATCTTGCGGCTCTCACGATATTCCCTAATAAGAACGTGGAGCGTGTCGCTGTTGGGCACCCAGCCCAGGAGACCTGAGCTCTGCGACAGCGGAATCGCTGGATAACGCTCGATATTGAGATGGCGCTTGTAGCACTCCGAGTCGTTCGCCAGCAGCGTGTTGCAAAGGCCAAACAATTGCATGACACGTTCGTCTTGGCGAATGTCCTCGTGGCCTTTAAGAAGGAACGCGTAACGCACACCGTCGCTGCCGCCAATCGTTATCTTACGCGGGCGCTGCTTGCTGTTGATGACCGAAAAGGTGCCCTCAAAGTCCATGATACGGACAATGGGTTTTCCGCTTCGATACGTTCCAGGTACGGCGAGGTCGAGATCCTTAGCGCCAAGCAGCTTGGGCGAGCAGTAGGGCAGTTCCAGGCTCGTGAGCTGCGGCAACTGTCGCGATATGCGACGGAAGACTTGGTAGTACAAGTCCCAGGCTTGGTTGAGGTCGTTCACATCTCGGCTCGACTCATACTGTCGGCACCATTCCCGCGCCTCCGTCAGGTCCCTACCAAACGTTTGCGCGAACGAGATCTCCCTAAGTGTCTCAGGCCCGCGCTCCAGCTGGTCGTGGAGGGGCTCAAGAGTCGAGAACATGCCCTCGATATTATGATCGCCAAAGTATAGTCGTGATGCCTCTTCCAGACCCTCGTGCCACTGCTCATGCCACAGAACGGCAACCCTGATAAGTTCGTTACTGACGACATCTGCCTGGGAGACGAGATTGGCCGAGTGCTGACGCATACTATCCATAATCTGCGCTGCGGACCGGGAGCGGCGGGCACTGTGCCACGACTTCGTGGCCACAGTGAGAGGGTAAATGAGGGCCTGCGGGTGGGCTCTGCCGACATCAGCCAGAAGGCTGTGGATGGTTTGTTGCACGCGACGAGACTGTTGGTTGATGCGGGCGATGAGCTGAGGAATGACTTCAAGCCAAGTATCAACGCTAACATTGGTAAAGCCCTCAGTGACTGCAGCGTTGACGTCAGCACTTGAGCCGTGCGTGAACCATAATGTGAGGAGACGCAATGTGTCCTGCAGCGAGCTGCCAGATGACAGAGCGATAGACTTGAAGAAGCCCCGCACCGCCGGGACGACATGATCGACGATCATAGCTTGGTCCGCCCGGTTGAGCTCGCTCCTGCTGGTCAGCGCCTGCACAATTTCAAAGTTGGCCAGCGCCCATGCGTGCCACGCTTTGTACCAGCGTGGGTTATACTTGGCCGCCTGGGAGTAGGCAGTCAATATGTCCTGGACGTTTTCGTATTGCCATGTTTCCTTGTTGAGCGCAATGAGCCACTCGCCCTGTCTGAGATAACACTTGGCGAGGAGCACCGTCTGGTCCTGGAGGGCGCGTTGGGTCTGAGGCGCCATGATGCCCCCCTCCATACCCTGCGGGAAGTTGTACTCTTGGCTCATGTCTACACCTTGTTGTCCTTGAGCGGTGAGATGCGCCTTGGTGACCTCGTGTCGGTGCGCCGAATCGTTAGTAAACTTGCGCAGACAGTAGAGAGTCTTCTCCGAGATACCCGAAGTCTTATTCGCGGGTTGCTGGCCAACTTCCCATTCGAACTTGAGCATGGCATAGATGATCTGCGATGGGACGTTCCGGGGTAGGCCCACGTTGGGCTGCTGGGGCCGGTCATTCCAGTATGGGATCATGGACGTGAGCGAGGACTCGGTCCCGATGAGCTGTTTCAGCGACTTTTCGGCCAAGCCCATGCGACCCGACTTGCGACATAGGTTGGCGAACTTGATCCACATGTGCATATTCTCGGAGGGAGTGATGACAAGCTGCCTGAGACGAAGCATGCGCTGCCAAAGGTCCACGTTACGTTGACACCCCTTGAGGCGCTTCTCCCAAGTGCGTCGCATGGTGGCGCGCTTCTTCTCATCTGTCTGCTTGTAGAAGATAAGCTCTTCGAGTTCGGCCAGCATTTGGACGCGAACGACGACTGTGTACGCCCGGTTGTATGACTCGCTGACCAGGGCGCTGAGTTCTGTATCGAGGCCCTCACGCGTCTGCTGCACGCAGTTCAACGCTTCTCGGAACTGGTTGCGATGCAGGGCGAGAATGGCGCCAAAGAATGAGCGATCAGTCGAGAAACGCTTCATCGACTGGAGGTAGTTGTCCATGGAATCCCACTTAGACAGACCCCAGGCGGCGGCGGTGGCCAGAGGAGCAATGAGGCGCTGCACTTCCGGCGATGAGTTGGACCAAGTGTTGCCGGCAATATTCGCAAGAGCCTCCCATTCGCCCAGAGCGTGCAGGCAGCGCATCTTGCCCATGATGATATCGACAGGAACAGCCTGGTCTTCAGGGATGTCTTGCTCCCTTTTATTATAAAAGTCAAGAGCTTCCTCCCAGCGCTCCAGCTTTTCGAACCATGTCTCTCTAAGCTGGATACCTTCCTTATAGAGCTGGGCCTTGCGGAGGATGCCTATGGCAGCGTCGGACTGCTGCAGATGGTTGTTGATGCCGATGAGAGCCTCGACCGCCCCACTGCTCTGGTCCTGGAGGAATTCAAGCTCCTTGTAGTGGAGGGCCTTGGCGTAGGCATGGCAGCGACCTGCCTGGTGGCCGAGGACACGAATATCGATTGGTAGCGCCTTGTCATCGTGTTCCATAAATTCGGCGAGATTGAGCAAAAGTCCCAGCAGGTCCGGAGGCACGTTCTCCGACTTTATCGCATTCTCGATGTTCTGGATCAGCTCGTCCTGAAACTGCTCGTACAACTCAGACCAGCACGAAACAAATGCCGAATTGAAGAGTTCTCGGGCGAGTGGCAGGTAGGAGCTGGCCAGAGCGGCGCATGCACGTAGAGCGTGGTTGGGAGATTCTGCCAGAAGGGTCGTAGAGAAGCGACGGAGCCATTCCTGCCAGTCCTCCTTGGTCGACTTTCCCTTTGTATCCCATGCCGTTTTGAGGTGAATGGCATTCATCTCAAGCTTTTTGGACCCCAGGTCGGAAAAGATTTGGTCATCGACTCGATCTACGAATCGATCGGCAGAGCCAATGTCTTGCGGCAGCACTTCGCCCTTGGCAAGCTTGCTCGTGAGTAGCTCGTAGTTGGCATGTTGGATCTGGTGCTCCGCGAGGATTTTGTTCACGTTGCCCATGAAGTGTGTGTAGTCTTTTCCTAGCTGCTGAATCAGCGCGCAGAGAGTGTCCAGAGCGGCAACACGCAAGGCCGGATCACCACTGCTGAGCACGCGGTTCAGTGGGTGAATAATCTTGGCCGCATAATCGTTCAGGTTCACTTGATGGGATATCTTGCCAATCGTCTCAATGGCTTGTTTGCGGAGAAACGTTGGCTGGCCCTGCTTCTCGAATGTGCGAACAATAACGGGAATAATCAGATGCATGTACTCCTCGCTGCTTGATCCGAACACAAGGAAGGCGTGAAGGACCCTTTCTGAAGGGATGCGTCGTGCCGAGGTATCCACCTCTAGGGCTCCGAGCATCAAGGGGAGGAGACCAGCAAGATAAATCTTGAACTCGCCTTCTAGTCCACGAGAAATCGCTTCGACAAGGGACAGAATGGTAGGCTGAAGGCCGAGCTTAGGATTCCAGTACTCCTGGCAGGCTTCTACAATCTGCGGTAAGAAGTTCCTAATGTGCTGCCGCACGATGCTAACGAGCGTAGCGAGCTGGCTGAAGTAAGACTCAAGTCTCTTATTCGAGGCAGCCCTGATGACAGCGAGAAACGCCGGAATGATTCTGTCGAGAAAGCTGACACATTCAAGTCCGAGCGTCCGGAAAATGTTCATAATGGCTTCGATGACCGCAGGATGATGCGCCACGAGAGAATTATCCTTGAGGATCTGTAGCAAAGAGTTGATCACCACAGTGGGGAAATATTCTTTGTTGGAGGGCGTGAGACCGGACATCATGAGGGCCACGTCGCTGACCGGGGTGACTTCGGCTCGTCGCTGGACTTCGGGCCGGCGCTGTTCGACCTGTTGGTACTTGTAGGGGTCGAGGGCACCCAAGATACCCATAAGTTTGATGGTTTCCTGTCGAAGTGTACCTCGATGATCTTCAGTGCGTACTATACCCTGTAAAATTTCCAGGAGCTCAGGGTATTCAAGATATGGTTCGATGACATAGCCAGAGTTGCTGGCCATCTGACCGAGTGCGTGGAGAGCCGCTTCGCGTTTGAGGCTTGAGCTCTGGTCCTGGAGTGCCTCGATGATGAGAGGCATGAGCTTGTCTTTGTATGGGAGAATGTCTTCGCCGCCGACCGTGGCAAGTTCTCCTATGGCTCTCAGAATGGTGGCGGCCACGACTGGCGTCGGGTCCTTGGCCTTGGGGATGAGTACTGACATCATCGGGTCGACGTAAGGCTTAACAAGTCCTTGAGCGTTTTGGACAAGAAGACTCAAAAGCTTCGCGCTTTCCTCCTTGTTGCGGGCGACGTCTGAAAACTCAAGTTCCGTCAACAATTGAATTAACGTCTTCCGAAGGGAGGGAATGACATAGGCGGGGTTGTGACGTGCCAGTCGGCCGATAATCGAGATGGCAACTTCTCGAATAGAGAAGACCTCGTCATTCAAAGCGAAGAAAAGGGTCCGGATGTTCTCTGCTTTGGCAAGATGGCGATCGAAACGCTCGTCAAGCGCAGCCAGTACGGTCCGTCTGATAGGCGGCTCGGGATCCGACACGCCAACTGTGAGAAGCCTTTCGATGACGTCGCCCACCACTTGCAAAGCGTGATAGCTCGTCTGGTTCACGATGGGATCCCTGACATAAAGCTGGCAGCAGGTCAAGGCAGCCGCCTCGCGGATTTCACAGTCTTCGTCCTCGACGTACTTGATGGCGACGTCTCGGACAAATTCGTTCAGAACGTGTCCAGTAAAGTCAAAGCTGCCGAGCGTGTTCAGGGCCAGCTTGATCTCGGCCTTGCGATGTTCATAAGCCTGAGGATCCTTAGCATCCTTAGTGATGACCGGTGCCGATGTAATGGAGTTGGGATGCGGGGCGCCCAACGGTTTGAACGGTTCGCCACAGAGAACCATGCTCAGCATGTCCAGAAGCCGGTTCCGGATGGTGTCTTGTGCCGGAGGAATATAGAATGCCATATCCACGAGGGCTTGTGTCAACTTTGGTGTCAAGTCGCACTGGAATATGGGACCGAGGAGCGCTTCCATGTACTTGCTGAGTGTTTGACCGACGGCCACAGCAAGGCGGCTGATGCATTCAAACACGGCGTCTACGGAACCGCGCTTGCGAGCCTGCACACTCAGCCCTTCGCGGATAAAAATCATGAGATTGTCAAGGTAGGGAGCGATGGCGCTCTTGACAGAGTTGGCGATGTTGCCTATGGCCAGAAAAGCATCTGTCCTTTCTTTGTCCTTCTTCAGCATGCCGATCAGGTAGACCATGAACTTGTGGAGGTAGCTCTGGTCAAACTCGGCAGGAGAGTAGCTGGCAAGGTCGGGGATCAAGAGGACCACCGTCTTCCGGATGGTGCCATCTTTATGCTCCTTATAGCGCAGAACAATCTCGCAAGCTTCGGGATAATGGTCTTGCATGAACATGCCGCCTTGTTCCAACAGCTCTTTCAGCATGAGGAGAGACGCGTGTATGTATTCTACAGCGCCGTTCTGGAGACCTCGGAGAAGCTCGCTGTATGCCTTTTCCATCCAGGCCTGCTTCATTTCCTGGTCGCGCTCACGGATGATGCGGAAACAGGCAGCAATCGTATCGGCAGATGTAGAGCGGATGAGTTGTCGGCTGTCGCGCAAACTGTTCCATATGAGATCAAGCACCAAGCCAACGTAGTTGTACATTAGTGTCGGAGCTTGCCTAGCGAGCTCGCGCAGGACCAAGGCGGCGCTGTATCGGCGCTCCTCTACACGCTCATTTTGTAGCCACTCGAGGGCGAATTGGGTCTCAGACTCGACAAGCTCGCTGATGACGGAACCTCCAGGGCGACACATTTTGCCGAGAGTGACAGCAGCAGCCTGCATGGGGCTCATATCCTTGCCTCTAAGGATAGCCTTCAGGTTCTGGAGAAAACGAGCATATTTCGTCGCCTGGTCGGTTGCATCAATATCCACGATGCTGTCCAAGGCGTAGACACCGCCCAAACGTTCGGCCGAGTCGCTGCCATGAGCAATAAGCTGAGTGATTCGGGTGTTCACCGCATGGTAAATGTTGTTGAAATGGTCCGGCTGAAGATCTGTAGGTTGACTGTTAGTAGTGTATCTAGGTGGGATCAATGACGACAGATATCACGAACCTCGGTGGCACACCAGAACCAGCTCCCGCAGTTGAAGAGCGGCGCGTTTTCTTACATCGTCACTGACCCGACTGCAGCGAGTTAGCCATAGTCAGCAAAGGTAGGCACTAGGCACATACCTCGATCGGAGGTCTCTCGTGATCGTCTCCAATCGCTCGAGAGCGATCTGTTGTTGCGTCGCCATATTCCTCCGCTACTGGCGAGCCAGAGCACCAGTCTCGAGAAAGGTCACACCATCAAACGGCGACTGCCTTTGTAGAGGTACTCGTTTCAGATGCGTGATAGCGTCGCGGGGCACAATCGATGCGAGATTGGAGTGGAAGGAAGCGCGCGACAAGGCGCAGGTTGTAAGCGTCGTCGGGAATCGCGATTGCCGGTGTGTAGCGTGGGAGAATCTGCGATGCACGCGCTGGCAGGTGTGTGCATAAGGACTCGGATCAAACGCAACCGCTCGGGCTAACTTTCTGAAGGCGAGGCTGAATGTTGTTTGGCACATCACAAGACGAGCAGCCGAGAGTGTGCCAGCGCTGGGGCAAGAGCACAGTGTATGTCTATTGCGTACTGTATTGAAGTCGGCATCAGCATGGCAGTTCACATCCAGTGGGAGATCCTTGCGCACAGTGTGCCCGTTAGGTAGCACATAGTTAGATGTAAGGAGCCAAATGCGGAGCTTCCCCAGTAGCTCCACGGTAAAGTGGATTCGGTATCTTATCAGCTGGATCGTTAAGCGCAAACCATCATTGTTAACTCTGACCGAACTCATTTCTCATCATTCCCCAGGCACCTAGACAAGCAATTTTCCCCTCCTCTCCGCCGACACCGAACCATCAAGATAGCGACCTGATCATCACCCGAAAAACGAATCATCTTGTCTCATTGCACAATGGGCAACGACGGCGGCTCTATACCGAAGCGCCGCGAACTTGTCAAGAACGCAGCCCGCGCTCTGACTGTCAGCGAGCTCAAGGCCAACGCCCACGAATCGCTCACTCATGCCTGGTCGCATGATCCATTGACGAATGATCCGCTGGACCTCGATGCCGTTGTCTCCGACTGGCGTGGGCGTCTGTACAACTACGAGTCCACCCTGCACTTCCTCCTTCCTGCCGTCGACCCCGCCGCAAACACCATTGATGAGACGCAGGCCACTGCGTTTGCCGCCACAGCCATTCACTCTCTGCGTGACATTGTCAAGCTGAAGTTTACACGGTCTGGTGACAAGGTCAAAGACGCAAGAGTATGCCCAGTATCCTTGAAGGAGCTAGGACCTGCGACCAGATCTGTCTACCTCGTGCCCTGTGGACACGTCTTTGCAGACGTAGGCATGAAGCAGATCCGAGAGAACTCGTGTCCCGAATGCAGCGAACCTTTCACCAGCAGTAATATTATACCCATTCTTCCTGTCGATGAGGCCGAGACAGAAAGAATGGTGCGGCGCATGGAAGACCTCCGTGCCGCAGGCCTGACGCACAGTCTAAAGAAGGACAAATCTACTGGCAAGAAGAAGCGCAAGGCTGAAGACGTCAAGGACGAGGCGTCAGACAAACGTCAAGCAACCGAAGAGACGTCCAGAGTCAAGAAGAATGCACATAGTCGAACAAGCGGCATCAATAACGCATTCGCCGCAGACTTGACGGCACGAGTGTTAGCTGAGCAGGACGAGCTGAACAAGAGGAGGAAGCTGGCGGCCAGGAGTTAGCTCGAAGGACATGCTCTGGCAGCAATAGCTTGACTTTGCGACGTCGACACGATAACATGATACCCTTTTAGTGCCCAAACCCTGACGCAACTACATGATGATGACTTCAATATCTGTGTCAGGCGACTCAAAGCTCATCCTTGCCCTTGGGCGTCGGAGGCTCCAGAAGCTCATCACACGCCGCAGGCGTGCCGACCTCCATCTTGTACACGCACTTCTCTGCTTCAGTGACCCTCCACAGCTCCTCCGTCTCGCTGCAGGCCAGCCACACATCTGTCTTGCGCCGAGGTCCATTCCAGCAGCTTTGTCCGTCCTCGTACCGCAGTACCATGCGCATGCCCTTTCCGAGGCCCTTACCATCCCGGCGCTCCTCCTCATCGGCCATTTCGCGGTCGATACGGTTGAAGTTGCCCATGTTGGTGTTTCCATGGCCCTTCTTTGACTTCTGGCTAGTCTTGCCCATCCAGCAGAGCTCGTACTCGTACTCGCCCGCCTCTGTTGAGACGCATTTGTCCTTGAGCACCCGGAAGATATCATCAAGACCATAGTCCTTGGCGAGTTCTTGTTGCTGGTCAACCAGCTCCTTCTCCTTCTTGGTGACGTCCTTCCCAGCGGCTTCGGATGCTTCGCGGGCAGCCTTGACAAGGTGTGATTCAGTACCAGGCTTCGCGTTGTCAACGAGGACACCATTCTCGATGAGCCATAGTCGGGCATTGCTAAGCTGCGTGTGGATGAACTCGCGAGCGAACGCAGGAAGGTAGGCCTCGAAGTTGTAGACTGTCATATCTTAGCATACGAGTGATTCGGGAGGGGGGAGCTGGTGGCAGACTCACGAATGTCAGTGTCAGTCGTGCTATCCTCCTCAAATTCCTTCCAGTTGATGCCTGTGCTTTCCGTATCGTCGGACAGGACGTCGTCTAGCTCCTCCTGCGTGATAGCGACCTTGGCATCCGCAGCCTTGGCAGCATAGTCCTCCCATCTCTTGACAGCTGATTTGACGCCCTCATCGTTAAAGTTAGGGTTATGGTCCTCCTTAAACCTGCGGAGAATACCCTCGAGCTCTTCGACCTTGGAGCGCAGTTTCTCGCGCTCTTCAGCAATCTCCTGGAGAGTATCACGAAGTTCATCGATGCGCTCCTTGGCGAGACCGACAAGAACCCCAAGTTTGCCGCCGATACCGCCGCCCTTGATGACCTTGCCCTTCTCTGACTGCTGAGCGTCCTCATACTTCTTCTCGAGCTCAACCTTCTTCGCAGCTAGCCCAGCAATCTCGATTTCAAGACTGGCAATCTTGGCTTCAACACGGCGGCGCAGTTCCTTGGATTCCTTCGCCATGGTCCTCCGCTTCTTTGCAGCTTTTTCAACAGCCTTCTTGCGTTCTTCTTCGACGCGGCGGTATTCCTTGCCAATCTCGGCGCAGCGGTTCTCGCACTTCACACCGCCGGCACCGGTGAACTCCTCACTGCCGTCGCAGCACAGGTCGTAATCACAGATCCCGTCGTTGACGAACATGAATGGAACGTAAGAGCCTCTGTGGCCCTCATTGGCGCACCAGAAGCCTGGAAGGGCGTGCGCCGTGCCCGTCGTGCCAGACGCGGAGCCTGGGAGTGGTTGTTGTGGGGAGAGGGAGTCGATGCTGGCACAGGCAGCCGTGCCCGGTTCGTCAGAGCCATCAGGGCAGTCGCATGTGTTATCGTTAATCTGTTCCAGCTTCAAGCGAATGTCGGGGTGACTGATGCACGAGAAGGAATCCGTCTCGTAGAACTTGGCAACTGCATACGTTAGCCTGGATTGTCCAAGTGCAGACAGAAGCAGCCGTAAACAAGGTTCCCAAACTCACATTCAGGGCCAACGCCTCGTGGCAGAGAGGCGGCCGATGCCGTGCCTACTGACAAAAAGGTGCCCAAAAGCACCAGGCTCTTATTGTGCCGCATTGTGGTCGTGGCGGTTATTTCCACGTTGAGAAGTGTGACAACTGTGCAAGTCCGTCCAGCGCTGCATTGACGTATCTGAGTAGCAAGAAAGCTCCAGCTCATCCAAAACACACCAGCGGGCCCGGACAGGGGTCTGAAGGCCCCTGGAGCCGTCATCACGTGGAGATAGCCTCTGAAACTCTTATCGGTGTTCGAGCACTCGAGTGACTGCCCCTCCAAATCGCGGGGCAACCTCCAATATTTTCATTGTTTGACGCCCATTTACTCAACAAGCAATTCGCAGTGACGCCCCAAACCTAAGCCCTCCGCCCCCCCCGCTTCGACATGCCTTCCGATGCCGTCAATACATCAGTGGAAGGGCTGAATGTTCTTGCTGCACAGACTGTCCATCTTCTACAGCAGTTGGAGCCTGTTCTTCTTCAAATCAACAGCGGCAAAGACACACCAGAGTCGACCATCGACCAAGCAGCATCGCAGATTGACGCTCTGGCACTGGCTCGCGACTCTGCCACGCTAATCCGTGCCCATTCGACCAAGATCTCCGTGCTGATAATCAATGAGCCTTTCACGCCGTCGGCCATAATCAAGGTCCTTCGCGAGCTTGTCGGCAGCGCCATCCAGGGAATAGCCTCTGCTGCACAGACCTGTACAGCCGAGCGGTACACTTCCACCGTCAGAAAGGACCTGGCTTGGAAGTCTTACACGGTGTTAAAGGAGCTGAGGGAACTAATCCAGAAGATCCCGAAAGATGGCAAGATTCTCACGGGAGACAAGAAGACTGGGGCTGCAAGCAAGGCCGGCAAGGGCAGCATCGTAGCCACGGGAACCCTTTGGGCAGCATGCGATGAAGTCACACGCTTCTGCAACGCTGGCGTGGGCGGCTGTTTTATCAACAAGGTGGAGGAGTTCCGCGCGACGCTGAAGGATGTCATGGAAGAGCTCAAAGAATGGGGCGACGAAGTGCCCGAAGATGAGGACGACGACGAGGACGATGAAGCTGGCGATGCTGAAGATAATGACTCTGGACTTGGCTCCATGATGCCCTCAGCGCAAGAGATGGTCGACGACATCATGGGCGCACAGCAAACAATACCTCGCGACGACCCGGATAAGATTCGAGAACGACTGGACTCATGCCTTAAGCGACTTCGTCTGACCACGCTGCTCTACCAAGCAATTGTCAAGAGGAGGTTGAAAATTCTTCCTTCATTCCCGACTGACCCGTCCCTGCATATTCCCCAGAGGTTGGATAATGTGATGGAATTGCTCAGGAAGCTGCCCAACCAGTTTGACGAACTGGCAGGTGCATTCTACGAGTTGGACCCAGATGAGATCGACAACGCAATGGATCAATGCTTTGTGGGCGTGCGCACGATTTCCGACCATATGTCGAAGCCGTGGGCTGCGGACCGGGATGAGTTCTCAGACTGGGCCGAAAAGTTCCAGGAGCAAATCAAGAAGTCTTAGAATGGGTGGATCATTGCACTGGGCAACACTCGCATGGGTCTCAATCGTACAAAAACCTTCCCGTGCATTCGTTTTCCTCGTTGAAGTGATGCCGAATGGCTGTGACCACCAGCTGTGACCACTGTACCTATGCACGCAACCATTCGTCCTCCAGAAGCATTGTGCCACATTGTGGTGGTAATTTATGCCACGCATCTGCTACACCTGTATGGTACTCAGGCTTTCCACTATCGTTGCCGGGCATCCAGATTGTCGTCTGGAGGGAAGCGACTGAACTCCGGGACACGGATGCAACTGCCCGTAAGGCAGTGCAGTCAGCTCGATCGTGGCTGCCAACGCATCGAGTAACAGTTGATTTCTTAGTTAACGGCTAGCATGTGGTCGTCTTCTTGAGCATGACAGTCATCGAGCAGCTGGCAATCTGCATCCTATTCACTGCGCAATCATTTTACCTCCTCTCACTTGAAGACGCCAAGACCTAGCACTCTGTATCCATCATTAAAGCTACTAATTACCAATTTGGAGCTGGACCGTCTTCTTGGACTGTCTCCCGAACTGCATCATGCGCGTCGCTGTCGTTATTGCGTTTCTCGCCCCCATCACTGAGGGTCTTCTGCTGATGCCCTCCGAGCCGATCTTCACGCTCGAGCTTGGCCCTGGATGCATCCGTACTGTTATGGAAGCCGGGAAAAAACGTCTTGAAGCTGTAATCTTCTCTATTTCCGCATCACAGACAGCTTTTGACATCTTCTAGGATGGTTACGACTATACCGACCTTACACACTCGTCGATCCGGGCTGCTCGAGCCGATGGCGCGTCTACAGACGATGGGGCAAAGTCCATGCCACCTCAAAACAATGCCCTCGACCAGTTCGTAACTCTCAACGCAACTGCTCTGGCAGAAAATCTCCTAGGTTTAACTGGATTCCACACGCGATACTACAAATCACAGACCGGCATTCAATCTTCGAAGTGGCTTCTGGGCCGCATTCAAGCCTACATAAGTGGCGCAACGTCTCGAGGCGTCAAGAGAGCGTCTTTCAGGGTCGTGGACCATAACTGGAAGGGTCAAAAGAGCATCATTGTCTCTCTCAAGGGTAATGGTAACGGTGTAGTTGTGCTCGGCGCTCATCAAGACTCGATCAACGGGCTAGACCCGATAAAAGGTCATGCTCCCGGCGCAGGTACGTTGTTGGGCAGTTGAAGCATGACATATGCACTTCCTCACCATTGAATAGATGACAACGGCACCGGCAGTATTACAATCTTGGAAGCCCTTCGCGCGATCCTCGACAGCGACTTAGCCCTCAAAGATAGCGAACACACACTTGAATTCCACTGGTACGCAGGAGAGGAGGCTGGGCTCCTGGGCAGTAATGCAATCTTTAATGAGTACGCTCGCGATGATGTCAACGTTGTAGCTATGCTCAATTTCGACATGACGGGCTATGTCAAGCCTAACACGAAGCCGACGATGGGTGTCATAACTGACAACGTTGACCCCAAGCTCACGCAAAGGCTGCGGGAGATTATCGAGAAAGTAAGTAAGGCAAAGTTCACGGATAGGATTAAAGCTGATTAATCGAAGTATTGTTCCCTTGGATGGACTGACACTGCATGCGGTTATGAGTGTTCAGATCATGCCTCGGCGACCCTTGTTGGTTTCCCGTCTGCTTTCATCTTTGAATCGACCTTCGAAAACTCGAACGAATACATCCATACACCCGAAGACACAATTGAGAAGGTGGACTTTGGACACGTGTATGAGTTCGCGAAGCTCGCGGTTGCTGCCGCCTACGAGCTCGCTTGGTGAGGATTGGTCGCGCCAGTGGGGAACATGACACCAAGCAACGCTGCTACACTCCTTGGATGGAAGGCGGAAACCATGCAGCCTAGAATCCTCTTTCGAGAAACCAGTACTCATGAGTTGGCATTTAATCGTATCATTGTCAGATTGTAAAGAATAAATCATCCCCTGCAGAGGATGCATCGCAAGACAATCGCAATTGTTGCGCCGGGAGGCGGCACCATGTCAGGTAGTGGATATGGAGGCACAGCTCGTAAATAACGTCGTATCGACGCGAGTAAGACACGTAGTTTTGCACACTGCTACTGTTCCAAATAACGTTGCGTTTCCACTCCAGACTAATACCTCGTTCTTCGGCACCGGGTCATGACGTCATGACTTGGACGTGCTTCATCTGATTCGTACCACCGTACTGATCCTAAGTGAACAGAGCAGAGACGGGCTGGGAAAGAATACAATATAACAGAGAGACAATCTGCGCTTCCCGAGGATTGCGAAAAGTGACACAACGTAGAGACAACATTGATTGCCGTCATTCATTCAAACGACCATGCCAGCACTAAAAATTCTGGTCATCGGTGGTGGCATCGCCGGCCCCACTCTTGCATTTTGGCTGGCTCCCCTCGGCCACGATGTCACCATTCTCGAACGAACAGAGTCGCTTCGCGCGCAAGGCCAGCAGATCGACCTTCGCGGCCAAGCCGTGAGCGTCATCCGTCGCATGGGGCTCGTCGACAAAGTCCGCGCCCACGTTGTGGATGAGGAGGGCATTCAATTCGTTGACGCCAAGAACCGTCGCCAGGCAATGTTTCGCGCCAACAAGACCGGACAGGGCGCCCAGACATTCACCTCCGAGTTTGAGATAATGCGCGGTAGTTTGGTGCGCATTTTGGCCGACGCCGCAACAGCACGTGGGGCCAAATTCCGTTTCGGCACCACTGTCGAGGGACTCGAGCAGAAAGGCAATGCTGTGAACGTTGCCTTTGAAGACGCGCACCGCTGAGACCTACGACCTTGTCATCGGAGCCGACGGACAGAGCTCTCGCACGCGTCGGATGATTATGCAGCCGGAGGAAGAGCGGTACACTCACCTGAACGGCTTCTTCTGCTACTTCACTATCCCGCGGGAAACAGTTGATACCAACTAGTGCACCGTTTTCACCTCCCCCAACAAGAGCATGTGCCTGCGCGCCGACAACCCAGAAACTGTGCAGGCGTACTTGGGCATTTATCCGCGTGATGATGCCCTTCGGAAAACGTTGCGGGATTCGATGGCCACCCGGGATCCTGATGCTCAAAAGCGACTCTACACGGAATTGTTCAAGAATGAGGGATGGCAAGCATCACGTATCGTGAAGGGCATGAACGAGACGAGAAATTTCTACTGCCAGGAGACTGCACAAGTCAAAACGAAGATTTGGTCGAAGGGGCGAGTCGTCCTCCTGGGAGACGCTGCGCACTGCGCCAGCCCCGTCACTGGACTGGGCACTACGTCTGCTATTGTCGGAGCCTACGTCCTCGCAGGCGAGATTGCCACACACTGTGGAGGCGCAGATAAGGAGGGAATTAGTGATGCCCACGGTGCTTTGCTAGCTTACAACAAAACGCTACGGCCCATCGTCGACAGGCTACAGCAGCTCTTCCCTGGCGTCCCTGGATTGCATTCCCAAGCTCGTGGTTCTGGGTCTGGGTTTCGAACTCGGCGTGGTGGGCGCTATCATGGCTTCAAGTGGATAAGCTTGCCCAATATTTTGCATCCGACGACGTCAAGGGCTGGACCCTGCCAGATTATCCCATCATGCAATTGTAGTCTTTCACTCAATGAATTTACAAGATTCCGGAGTGCACGACTCAACCGTGCACGCCAATTAGCGAAGGCGCGTAGGACGGAAGTATTTCAAAATAGCTAACAATAAACCGCATGGAAAATTCGATGGCTTAACAAATATTGCTTGACGTGATTCTCATTACAAATGTCTGAGTAGTAAATACTGAAGAAAGTGCCGTGATTCGTATCCCGAACAAAATTACAGGTAAAGCTCAATCAATCGCGCCCAATGTGGAAGGATTCGCCTTGAAGTGAGCGCGACTGGTTGGGCTCTTAGTCATGGCTTTGTCGCGTCGTTCAGACGCTATCTCTCTCAACAGAGCGCTTGTCGTCATGGTGCGCCGCATCTCCCTTTTCATCGCCATTCTGGACTCCACCCTGTTGCGCAACGCTCTGGCGCTGAATGAATGTGGTCTTGGGCCTCCATCCAGCACTCATGCGAGCCGAAGAAACCTCCGTGTACAGCTCGTCTACCTCTTCTAGGGATAGCCCCTTGGTTTCGTAGATGAAAAAGTAGACAAAGGCAATGCAGAGGAAGCAGCACCCGAACCATATAAAGAAGATCTTAGACTGCAGGTTAGCGTTTCCCGGGCCATAGTTAACCAAGTAGGGGGTCGAATAGGCAATAGCCCAGTTGAGAAGCCACTATATATATGAGTTAGCATATAAGGTTAATAGTCATGGCTAGGAATTATAAAACTTACGTTAGTGGCCGTAGTAATACTTAAACTCCTAGCGCGGAACTTCAAGGGAAAGATTTCACCTGTAACGACCCAGGCGAGAGGACCCCAAGTCGAAGCGAAGAAGAAGATATAAATACAGACGAAAGCAATGCCAGCCTTCTGCGCATCGACATTGTGGACGATGATGTTCCCAGATGAGTCCTGGCTAGTAGTAGATGTGCCCAGGACTGCTACAAGCAGCTGGCTTATACACATGCCCACAGCACCCCATAGCAGCAGCGGTCGACGACCAAATTTATCAACGGCATATAAACCAGGAAGGGTAGACACAACGTTAATACTCGATGTAATCATCTGGATAGTGAATGCGTTGTTAATGCCGGAGTTTTTAAAGTACCTATAAGCTTAGGGTTAGAGCCGTCTACGCTATATCCACTGACTGCCTGATTTATACGTACTGAGTTCCATAGTAGAATATAAAGTTAATTCCGCTGAGCTGTTGAAGGGCCTGGAGTCCCATTCCGGTTAATTGTCGCTTGATCATGTGACCTCGGAAGCAGTCGAGGTAGCTACTCTTGCCAAGAGACATTTCGAATTCGTGGTTGGCAACAATCTCATGTAGCTCAGTTTGGATCGAAGGCGCATCGGAAGGAAGCCTGCGCAGTCTGCTCAGCGCATTCGCAGCCTTGTCTAACTGGCCCTTCTTGATGAGGTAGCGAGGCGTCTCGGGCAAGACAAGCATACCGCCGATGAGGATCAGGGCCCAAGCGAACTGAATAGCGATGGGGATACGATAAGAGCCCGTGTCGTTGCGATCTTTGGTAGAGTAGTCCACAATGGCGGCTAGCAGCAATCCAATTGTGATAGCGAGCTGGTAGGCGCCGACGATGGCACCTCTGATCCATTTTGGAGCCGTCTCAGACTGGTACAGTGGCACCACAGCGGACAACACGCCGACTCCGAAACCGGCGAAGAATCTTCCAGCCAGGAATGGAGGCAAACTGGTAGCTATCGTCTGAAGAATCACGCCCAAGATGAAAATGACGGACGAGGCGACAAGCGCGAGGCGACGTCCGATGTAGTCGGCGAAGAGAGGCGAAGACAAAGCACCGAAGAAGGTACCAGCCGAAAGGATAGATACGACAGCTGAGGCCTGGGACGATGAGACGTCAAGCTCACCTTGGGTATTGCGGTAGCCCGTCGAGAACGTGGTCTTCCAGTATGGCATGGCCATAATGCCGGAGATGGTACCTGTGTCATATCTGAATCAAGCGTCAGTCGATACCCCGGATAGCCTAGGTCCACACGCGCGAGGAGTCGGTACAGACCCAAACAGAATACCGCCGAAGGCAACAAACAAGCCAATGACAATGGCTGGCCAAGCTTTGCCTTCGGCCTTGTCGTGTACCACCGACAATCGGCGAATTGCAGACGTCATGGTGAGACAGTGTCAACCAGTGCTGAGGGATCTGGGTTGGAAAGAGCACTTCGGTTTGTGTAGAAGTCGATTTCAGGATTGCCTGGTCAAAAAAGGGTATCAGCTAACGGCGGTGCTGTAACCTTTATAACCACAAAAGCTCCTTCCGTCAGGAGCTTGAGCTCGGGCAACAGAGGTTGACTCGAGGTAGTAGCTCTATGACATGTTCGATGTCTTCGTGGTCAGCTCACAGTCCAATCCGGGTAACTCGCCAACCAGCCATGCGCCTTCGCCTGGCGCCACCCGCTAAGCCGGGGAATAGATGGAGGGGGCGGTGGAGAAGTTGCATGCCGGGGTAGTCTGGCTGGGGTTCCTTCGTAACGACGGCGTAAGCTTCGTGGAGAAGACCAAACAATATTTGGGGGGAGAGGGGGCTCTTGCCCCGGTCGGCAACAGACTGACTTGGTCTGAGGAAACCGCAGTCTTGGTACGCCGGAGGGTTTTTTTCTTTCCCACGCGATCACATCGTGGGCTTCAGCCATATTCGGGCCTTTTGAGACCTGCGCGGGTTGCCAACGTCAGCGTGTAACCGTGTTACGTTCAGGTAGTGGTTAGGGCCGAACTCTCTCACCGGAGACCGCGAGAATCCAGACGGTTAGAAGCAGTGACCACATTGGAGTGAGCTGACAGCCGCAGCGATTTGCTGGAGTCCGCTGAATCACTCGCTCAGATGATGATCTGAGGGATGCCGTTCTGCCGACTAGCTCGAAACTGTGGGTGTTGTGTTGTGTGGGGACGGAGCTAATCACCAGCCGTTTTGACGTGGACTGGTTGCATAATTGTTGGAGGAGGTCAAGTGCAGAAGAAAGGTGTGTCTCCTGTAGGGCAGGAGGGTGTCTGGCACTACGCTTTGGGAGGCACTGGTTGCACAGGCCATATGGCACCAGGTGAATGCCACTGACCGAGTGAATGCCACTGCTAGGTGAATGCCACTGGCACTGGCGAAGTGAATGCCACTGGCCAAGTGAATGCCACCATCAACGATAACTAGTGGGCGGCTTGAAAGCTTGTTATGCACGCTAACGGCTTGAAAGCTTGTCTTGCACGCTAACTATCGCTAAAAACACCAGACATGGTGCACATGGTCGACTCGTTGGTGCCGTTGAGGTTTGGTGTGCTTCGTGGAGGTTCATGTGGGGTAGTCCTGGCGATCTTGCGGGGCTAGAGCGCTGGCGATTGGAACGAGTATCTGCAGAGTCGACGCCTTATAAGCCATGTTGCTTTCGCAGTGCCGGCAGGTGACGTGGTGACATGGGTGAAGCTATTTGCCTAGACCAGAGCCAACATGAGATGTCAGCCACCTTTTCCTATGCGTCTGCCCTCTAATACGTATCAGCTTGGATCCTCTTTTGCCTTGTTCGGTTCCTCCTGGCTGGTGCGCCTCATGTGTTAAGGCGAGGTGAATCCAAGAACCCATACCAATGGGAGAGAGATATGGACTGGACGAGCATAGAGCGTAGGCGTGCAGATAGCTTAATCGTGCCTCAAAACAACAGCTAAGATGCACGTTCGTCCACACTTCGCGCTACCTCCGAGGGCCCGGTGCAGACCGGAATGCAGTAACACGCGCTCGAACGTACATGGCCAATGTTCAGCTTCGGCGCGTGGCGCATCTTGTCCCCTCACCCGGAGTCTGAAGACCTGGCCATCGACCATTTACATACTTACCCCACAGCATTGAAAGATTAACAAGATATCCGCGTTATAGCCCCTCGGCGGACCAGAGACACAAGAGACATGATGAGCGCTCTGTGTTTCTGGTAGTTTAGTTTCTTAGTTTCTCTCCTGGATGGGAAACTTGTGTTTCTCCGTCAACTTGCTAACTGACGAAGCAAAGCACTGAGCTCAGAACTTTGCAGCGGACAGCGTGTTGTTGGTGGGCGACACGCGGGAAATGGGGATCACGGTGTCACGCTGAGCCAGCAGTTGAACAACAAGGCACCACAGGGAACCTCAGCTCTTCTTCCATGGTAAGCGACATATCAATATCGCCTCCTTGCTTCAAGCCACTTACA